TCCCAGGTGGTGACCTTGTTTACCGTACATCCCGTAATCGTTGCGAAATCTCTCCTTATGAGAGTGATTTCTGCTCCCCCGTCTACTAACGCGTCGGTATGATGAGTCCCGATCTGGATTTTCAGCTTCCCTACGGGCAGTGCATGAAAGCTAAGCTTTGTCCCAGGTGGTGACCTTATGACCTCACCGCCCTCTCGGTCGGGCAAGCTCAAACGAATGTCTGCAAAAGCTTTCTCGAGATCCTCCAAGTCCCCGTGACTCCTTTGAAGGTTAGTCACTTCTTGCGGAACTTCCTCCTCCCTCTCCCCTGCTGGTAATTCGGGGTTGTCGCCTATTTCTACTCGCCGCCGAGTCAACAATTGTCTAAGCCCTTTGAGCAACCTAGGGCTAACCTGCAGCATGGTCTGAAAAGACACCGACACCATGGTTAATAGCAACTTGCTAATGGTGTCGTCGATCTCAGGCAAGGATAAGATCGGGATTTGGTACCTAAACTTCTTCTTGGCTGTGGTAACCTTGTCCGCAAGCTACTCTTCCCTAGGCTTCCCACATACTTTCTCTGGCTCCTCGGCCTCAGGCTCTGCCTCGGGTTCGGAGCTTCCGGCGACCTCCTCCATAACGGTGTCACGGTTAATCCTTCTCACGACCGTCCCTAGCCGAGTAGTCGCGTTGACCCTATCTCGTCCGTCGTTTTCCAGAATGAAGTTGACCTGTGGCCCGTGCCCCCGGGGTTGATCCCAGATGATTTCGCCCACCGGATCGGCTTCTACGACCGTTATTTCTAACCCGTTGAGCAGGATAATGGCTCGTCGCATTCCCCCTGGTGAGTTCCAATTCACCCGCTCTCCCTGTGGTCCGAATATCTCTCCCTTTAATGACCTGGTGCATCTCCTTTTTAAGATATCATGGTTGAGTTTTGGGCGTACATAATTCCATCGCGGTACAGTACTAGCATTGCTCGTTAGCAAGATCTCTCCGTCCGAATCCCCGGTTGGCTACACCTGGCGGAGCCACAGCTTCCTGGGAGGGAGGGCGGGTCGGGACGCTTGCGCCTGCATAACCAGTAGCGCGCCCTCCATCCTTTCAATTTTATTGTCGACCCCATGCACCCGCTCACGTAGACTTTCAATCCCCTTCTTTACCTTGTCACCCGTTCTACCGGTCAGATCTATGACCTCACCTTCCTTAAGCAAGGCCAATGTCTCGGTCACTACCGTCTT